TTTACCTACTGCCTCACGAACTTCCCCCACACTCACAACTGACTCTTCCTCACTCCTACAAGATGTTATTCCTCCTTGCCCTATACACGAAATCACAGCTTCCCTATCTTCATCAACATTTAACAATTCCTCAAAATATTCCTTCCATCTTCCCAATACCTCTAACTCTCCATTTAATAACTCTCCTCTCCTATTTTTAACTGACAAATCCATTTGTTCTCTAGGCTTTCTTAACTTGTTAATCTCACTCCAAAACTTTTTCTTATTTTCAACAAAATTTGTTGATAACATCTCACCCACTCTCTCATTTGCTCTCTTTTTACATTGCTTCACCACTCTCTTAACTTCTCTCTTTTTCTCCATATACTCTTCCCTCCTTGCATCACTTCTACTTTGTAAAAACTTCTCATATGCTAACTTTTTCTCCCTTACTACTCTCTTTACATCATCATTCCACCAATCGCTCCTCTTCCCTCCTGCACCCACTTTCCTGTAACCACAAACTTCTGCTGAACACTCTAACACTACATTTTTAAACCTACCCCATACCTCTTCGACCCCATTGCCTATGCTCTCATTAGCCCATCTATCCTCCAATAGCTTTTTTATATCTTACCCAAAACTGCCTCCTCTTTTAGTTTATTAAACCTTTACCTCTCTCTTTCCCTGATGCTTCTATTCTCCTTGTATCCCATCTACCTTTTTTACTCTCAGTGTAGCTACAACTAGAAAGTGATCTGATATATCTGTGGCCCCTCTATAAAACATGTACATCCTGAAGTCTACTCAACAGTCTTTTATCTACCAATACATAATCCAACAAACTACTGTCATTTCGCCCCACATCATATCGTGTATACTTATTTATCCTCTTTTTCTTAAAATATGTATTACCTATAACTAAACCCCTTTCTATACAAAGTTCAATCAAAGGGCTCCCATTATCATTTACACCTGGCACCCCAAACTTACCTACCACACCCTCTCTAAAAGTTTCTCCTACTTTAGCATTCAAGTCCCCTACCACAATTACTCTCTCACTTGGTTCAAAGGCTCCTATACATTCACTTAACATCTCCCAAAATCTCTCTCTCTCCTCTGCATTCCTCTCTTCTCCAGGTGCATACACGCTTATTATGACCCACTTCTCGCATCCAACCTTTACTTTAATCCACATAAATTCTTGAATTTACACATTCATATTCTCTTTTCTCCTTCCATAACTGATCATTTAAAATTACTGCTACCCCTTCCTTTGCTCTAACTCTCTCAGATACTCCAGATTTAATCCCATTTATTTCCCCCCACTGAAACTCTCCTACCCCCTTCAGCTTTGTTTCGCTTAGGGCCAGGACATCCAACTTCTTTTCATTCATAACATCAGCAATCATCTGTTTCTTGTCATCCGCACTACATCCACGCACATTTAAGCAACCCAGTTTTATAAAGTTTTTCTTCTTCTCTTTTTTAGTAATTGTATACAGGAGAAGGGGTTACTAGCCCATTGCTCCCGGCATTTTAGTCGCCTCATACGACACGCATGGCTTACGGAGGAAAGATTCTTTTCCACTTCCCCATGGACAATAGAAGAAATAAAAAAGAACAAGAGCTATTTAGAAAAAAAGAGAACAACCTAGATGTATGTATATATATATATGCATGTGCGTGTCTGTGAAGTGTGACCAAAGTGTAAGTAGGAGTAGCAAGATATCACTGTTATCTTAGCGTGTTTATGAGACAGAAAAAGAAACCAGCAATCCTACCATCATGCAAAACAGTTACAGGTTTTTGTTTCACAGTCATCTGGCAGGACGGTAGTACTTCCCTGGGTGGTTGCTGTCTACCAACCTACTACCTACATAATAATAATAATAATAATAATAATAATAATAATAATAATAATAATAATAATAATAAATCAGGCATTTATATGCATTTAAAAGTGAAAACAAGGGTGATTTGCTTTACGGTGGTAGCCTGGAAACTAACCCGCCATATAAGACGGGACCTCCTATATTATTTACTGTATGGTGATGTATAGTGTATCTCTTACTCAGAACATTTTACATTATGAATTTGGGAAAATTTTCAAAGTAAAAGCAAATATTGAAATGATCTAAAAATTCTCAAACTAGTGAATAGCAGTAAAAATCCCAAATTTCAAATTATAAAAAATCTCTCTAATTCATAATTTTCCAAATAAGGATGAAAGATATAAAAAAATCTATATACTATATGAAATCTAAAATTCTTTTATTTAAATCATAATATCCTGGTAGTAAAAATTCCGAAATTCTACTTTCCTTTACAAGAATAAGAGACAGTGAGAGGAGTCTTTTATTTCTATAGTATCAGATATTCTAGTTTCTTTGTGCATGAAATGTTATTTTGAAGTAGATATATATTACTGTACGATAATATAAATAAATTTATCCCAAACCATCTTAACAAACAGACCAGGCAAGCACCAGACAAGCTTGGCCCATAGCCATGATCCAGGAGTAGAAAAACTATATAAGAGCAAGATAAAGCATTCTGACATACAGTACAAGCTAAAATTTAGAATTAGTAACAATTCAGATTCAGATTTATGGGCAGATCCACAAGTCCAGTCAGGCAGCAAGACTTACAAAAGCTTAGTGAAATGGATGATTGAGCCTCTGTCACTCCTTGTGCTGAATATGTATAAACCACAAAATGTAATGCAGCATATAAATACAAACTCTTTAGTTATTACATTTATGGGCTTAGAACTACACCCTTAGAGACTGTACAGCTCCCAAGGAACTGGGAGGCGATCAGGCTCAATCCAAGGAAAGGAAAGGTCAGGTTCAATTCCTTGGATCAAGGAACCTCCAATGAAGGATATAAAAATAATTAGGTTTAGTATATCTCATAATTATCACTATTTTACATGTGAACTGTGTCACTACAATCCAAACCTTAGTTTCTGCTGATTTTCACAGCTAAATTAGTTTTTTCTTTCTGAAGATACTAGTGTGTACGTAATGGAATCCAATACTTCAAACTGATTTATGTGATTTATCCAAAATATCTGGCACATTTACAATTATGTTACATTATATTACAATCTTAAGCTTGCAGACCACCACTTGTGTACAGCTAACAAATTTTGATAGCATAAGTTCCCAGCTTAACACTAAACAATCTTTCAAAAACTATAGTGTATTTATGAAGTGATTGACATTACGTACTAAAATATATCTGTAGATAATTTATAAAATTATGGGAAATTATAACATTCATAGCTATACAGTATAGATATATTGTATTAATGACCAATTGTTTCTCAAACCTAATGAGAACTATACAAAACTAAAGTGTAATTAATCAACTTAAAAACATTAAAAAAGATTATAATATAATGGAGTAACGAGTATAGGGGACATTTTCACTGTAGAACTGTATAGCTGAAGAGGGTTTCAGGGGTCAACTCCCCCATGGCCCAGTCTGTGACCAGCCAAAGTTAGTAAATCTCTTTGATAAGCAAAGGTATGAGGAATCTTTTGTCTTTTCTTTACAAGAACAACAGATTTGAGTGTTTTGAATTCAAGAAGCAGGCTAATAATAGACAGTGTGTTCTATACACTACCATACTTCAGCATGATGTACTACTCTACAAGAACTCAGGAAGTTGGTTAATAACACTTGAATTCTCCAGAACTGTCAACTCCCCCATGGCCCAGTCTGTGACCAGCCAAAGTTAGTAAATCTCTTTGATAAGCAAAGGTATGAGGAATCTTTTGTCTTTTCTTTACAAGAACAACAGATTTGAGTGTTTTGAATTCAAGAAGCAGGCTAATAATAGACAGTGTGTTCTATACACTACCATACTTCAGCATGATGTACTACTCTACAAGAACTCAGGAAGTTGGTTAATAACACTTGAATTCTCCAGAACTGTCAACTCCCCCATGGCCCAGTCTGTGACCAGCCAAAGTTAGTAAATCTCTTTGATAAGCAAAGGTATGAGGAATCTTTTGTCTTTTCTTTACAAGAACAACAGATTTGAGTGTTTTGAATTCAAGAAGCAGGCTAATAATAGACAGTGTGTTCTATACACTACCATACTTCAGCATGATGTACTACTCTACAAGAACTCAGGAAGTTGGTTAATAACACTTGAATTCTCCAGAACTGTCACTGAAATGTTAACATGTTGAGTAAGTGAAGATGCTCAAAAGCAAGCACTACATTTTTAACACAAATAACCTGCACATAGGAGAGGAGGAGGAGCTTAAGACGACGTTTCGGTCCGACTTGGACCAAGTTGGACCGAAACATTGTAGTAAGCTCCTCCTCTCTCCTACATGCAGGTTATTTGTGTACTGTTCCAGTCACAGTATTGTGCCTTTTTTGTTCTCTACATTTTTTTAAATTTCAGGCATGAAAATTTGCTATACAGCCTCTCCTCACTTAATGACGTACTCATTTACCAACGACTCAGACTTATGACAGGCTCTCTGACCAGTATGCATACCTAAATGTATATTAGAGCTGACTTCTTCTATTCTGTTTATCTCTTTGATAAGCAAAGGTATGAGAAATCCTGTCTTTTCTTTACAAGAACAATAGATGTGAGTGTTTTGAATTCAAGAAGTGCACTACTGTACAAACATATAAAAATGTTATAAATGGTGCAAAGGTGACATTAAAGCAATATCAAAGATGGCTGACATAAACCCACTACCACTATAGTATGCGCCTCACTTAGTGACGAATTCATTTACTGACGTGGTCTTAGCAACAGAACTCCGTCGTTAAGTGAGGAGAGGCTGTATTTGACTATTAGCTAATGAGTGAATTCAGAAGGCATCAGTTAATGTTAAACATGCAATTGTAAGATTTATCAATACGTACTGTACTTACAGTACATACCTAATGTTATCACACAGCAACCATGTATTAACTTACCGTATTCTTAAGCACTCATCACCTTACCCTAAGATAATGTCTCTGTTCACACTATTCATACTTACCGATTACTATTCATCTTGACAGCTTGCAAGAAAGAGAAAATTTTAATTAGAAAAGCAGTCTACACACGGTATAGTGGCTTTATTTCAGCATTTTATCAAAATATTCATATTTATTCAATGGAATGATGGAATTTGAAATATCAGTCTAAAATTACAAGCCTGTTGTATTAGCCAGTGCAGCACAAGGGGGTCAAAGTATTCTAACCAGAAACCTGGAAACTCTGAATCCTATCATATATTAAGGTGAAACTTCAACCCAACCAGCAACCAAACAGTGACTCTGCCAAATAATTACATTCATTCATAATGAATTGTGTAGCAGTGTGTGCTCAGCTTGCATCTGTGTATGCAATCTAAGTACAGTATGTACCAAAACTGATGTTACTCCTGCAGTACAGTATGCATACAGTACACAATTTTAAATGGAACAAATTTACCCTTATTACACAGATGTACAGGTATTATTGTACAGGATTATTGTTGATTATGTCATAGATTACACAAAATGTAAAAATTGCTATAATACTGTTTGTGTATGTTTTGTCTCATTTTGGCATGTAGTGCTTCACAAAACAGCAGTCTCAAGAAATGTATAATCTTAAAAGATACTTGCTGAGTTAATGCTCTTATTGCTTAGTGAACATCATTGACCATCTTTGTTAGATGTACGTATATTCAACATTAATGAGTATGGCTTTCAACATTACTTTCCATATAACTTGGAATCACCTTACACTGTGACTATGTCCCCAAAATATAAGCCTATTGAGGGTTTCACAGGATCAAACCCTTTCCCCCCAGCTCAGTCTGAGACCATGCCTCATGGTAGATCAGGGTCTGATCAACCAGGCTTTTACTGCTGGCTGCATGTAAACCAGTGAATGAACCAAAGCCCGGCTGATCAGGTACTGACTTTAGGTGCCTGTCCAGCGCCTTCTTGAAGACAGCCAGGGGTCTATTGGTGTCCCCCTTATGTATGATGGGAAACAGTTGAGCAGTCTTGGGCCCCTGACACTTATCGTGTTGTTTCTTAGCATACTTGAGGCAGTCCTGCTTTTCAATGGGGGAATGCTGCATCTCCTGCCAAGTCTTTTGCTTTCATAGGGAGTGATTTTCATGAAAGTTTGGTATTAATCCCTCTAGGATTTTCCAAGTGAATATTATTATGTATCTTTGTTGCCTGCATTCCAGGGAATACAAATCAAGAATCTTCAACCATTCCCAGTAATTTAGGTACTTTTTCATACTTGTGTGAGCCATGAAAGTTCTCTGTACACTCTCCAGGTCAGAAATTTTGCCTACCTTGAAGGGGGCAGTTAAGTACAGTAGTATTCCAGCCTAGAGAGAACAAGCAATTTGAAGAGAATCAGCATGGGCTTGGGGTCCCTGGTTTTGAAGGTTCTCATTATCCATCCTATCATTTTTCTAGCAGATGAGGTAGATACATTGTTGTGGTCTCTGAAGGTGAGATCCACCGACATTATCACTCCCAGGTCCTTCACATTACTTTTTTGCTCTATTGTGTGGTTAGAATTTGTTGTATACGCTGATACAGTTTCCTCAAGTTTTCCATATCTGAGTAGTTGAAATTTCTCTTCACTGAACTTCATATTGTTTTCAGTGGCCCATTTGAAGATTTGATTAATGTCCGCTTGGAGTCTTGCAGTGTCTTCAATGGAGGACACTGTCATGGCAATTTGAGTGTCATTTGCAAAGGAGTTATGGCTTACATCTCTGTCTATATCAGATATGAGGCTGAGGAATAGGATGGGAGTGAGTACTGTGCCTTGTGGAGCAGAGCTTTTCACTGTAGCTGCCTCAGACTTTACTCTATTTATTTCAGGGGTCACTATACCATGGTCCCTGGGAAGGTTTAATGTGTCCCCTCTGAACCCAGCAAAAGAATAAATTATACTATTGTATAATTCCTATAACAATAAACATGTCAAGACAGTACTTTCTAGTACAAAATCCAAAATAAAATAAGGTATATTTGTTGGTTGTAAAATTATGTGATAACAGAATACAAAGATAAGTACAATGCCTGCACTCTAAAGGAGGGGTTTGGGATATTGGAATTTTTGAGGGATATACTGTGTATTTTTATATGTATATACTTCTAAACTGTTGTATTCTGGGCACCTCTGCAAAAACAGTGATTATGTGTGAGTGAGGTGAAAGTGTTGAGTGATGATGAAAGTATTTTCTTTTTGGGGATTTTCTTTCATTTTTGGGTAACCCTGCCTTGGCGGGAGACAGCTGACTTGTTGAAAAGAAAACAAAAATCTTAATTTAAAGTGTAGAGAAATTATGAAATTAGATACATTTACTGCTCAGTATTAACAATTACTGTGGTTCATACTTTCAACTGCATGTGACCAGCAGCAACAGCCTGGCTGATCAAGCCCTGATCCACCAGGAGGCCTGGTCAACCCCTGATAGTAGAAACTTAACGGCTTTATGTGAATATGAATAAGCCCTATTCGATCTTATTTCTTTACAGCTGAAGATAATAGGTGTTCTCTAAGCCCATTGTAATCTGCTAAGCAAAAATCTGGGACAGTTACTGAATTATTCCTACTACCAAACTTCCATTTGATGCTAAAGGTAATCGATTTGAGGTTCAGAGAGGCCAAGTCTAAATATGCTAGAGGATGGCTAAAATACAGAAGGCAAAAATAACACAGTAAAACAAAGTTTAGCTGAAGATCCAGAAATGATTATGCATGGATAAGAATGGTGGCTCTGACAATTTGAGAATGGCACAGTATCAAAAGCTAAATCCAACCTGAAGTTGTTATATAGTCACAAGAGGAGGAAGATAACAGTATAGGACCAGGTAACCAGGCTGGAGGAGAGCTCACAAGGAATGACCAGGAAGTGTGAGCTCAGAAAGAGATTTAGAGAAATATTCTCAGATGAGACAGGAAGGTTAGCAGTAAACCGAAGCAGCAGAGTACAACAGCGAGTGCTGGATACAATACATAAAACTGGGGAAGAGGTGAAGAAGCTACTATGCGAGCTAGATACCTTGAAGTTAGAAGACCAGATAACCTCTCCTCCTGGGTGCTAAGAAAATGGCTAGAGGTACTGTGTGCCACTAGCAACAATCTTCAACAAGGCAACGGATAGGAGGTATGGAAGACATCTAATACTGTCAAAAGGAGACAAACAGGTAGTGTTGAACTACAGACTGGTGTCATTGACATGTATAGTATGTAGGATAATAGAGAAGATTATCAGAAGAGTGGTGGAGCATTTAGAAAGGGATGAGTTCATTCATAACAACCAACACGGTTTCAGAGGTGGTAAAACCTGTATCACAAACTTATTGGCTTTCTACAAGGTAACAGACAGCAGAAGAGAAAGATAAGGATGGGTAGGATGCATCTCCTTGGACTGTAGACAGACTTTTGATGCAGTACTGCACAAGAGACTGGTACAAAAGCTAGAGGAGCAGACAGGAATAACAGAGAAAATGCTGCAATGGATAAAGGTAAACCTAATAGGAAGGAAACAATGAGTGTTTGTGAAGAGGTGTCTGAAAGGGTGCAAATTATGAATGTGGATCCAAAAGGATCATTATTAGGATCAGTACTATTTCTTGAATACATGAATGATATGCCAGAAGGGATAGTCAGAGGTATTCCTGTTTGCAGATGGGAAACTAATGAGAATACAAGCAGATGATGATGAGGAAAAACTACAAATGGATCTGGACAGGCTGCAGGTCTGGTGTTACTAGCGGTTATTGGAATTCCCAGCAGATACTTTTGACAAAGCAACGAGTCAAGCCTGGGGTAGCTGCAAACTCATCTTGAGTGAGTACGACAAGCACTGCTGAGCAATATCAACAGAAGCTGTTGGGAAAGTGCGTCGGGACTAAACACTTCGAAATCAATTAGGAGTCGTCAGGACTGTATCTGCGAATCAGGCCATGATGAATGAATGCACCAACAGTATGGAAACCTGCATCTGGTAAGAAAATAAACTGAAAAAGTTTGCAATGAAATTATTAAGGCTGAGGGTATTAACTATGGAGAGGCTAAAGGAGCTATACCTGACACCAATGCCCAGGGCCCAAGACTGTAAAAGCCCCACAGGTACAGTGGACCCCCGAAACGATTACCTCCGAATGCAACCAATTATGTAAATGTATTTATGTAAGTGCGTTTGGACGTGTATGTTTGGGGGTCTGAAAGGACAAAATCTACTTCAAAATATTCTTATGGAACAATTCGGTCAGTACTGGCACCTGAACATACTTCTGGAGTGAAACAATATCGTTAACCGGGGGTCCACTGTATAAGGGGAATTACCAATAGACCCCTGACCGCCTTAGAGGGAGCTGGACGGATACCTAAAGTCAGTACTTGACCAGCCAGGCTGTGGCTCATATGCTGAACTACGTGCAGTCAGCAGTATAGCCTGGCTGATCATGTCCAGATCCACCAGGAGGCCTGGTCAAAGACTGGGCCGCAGGGGCATTGACACCCTCCAGGTAGATGACATTAGAAGACAGAAGTGCCAGAGGTGACATAATTACGATGTACAAAACAATGACAGGAACTGACAGGATATACAGGGAGAGTGTTTGAGAGGCAGTTCTCGGTACGCCAGGTCACAAATGGAAGATAAAAGACGAGGCATAGGGATGTTAAGAAATACTTCTTTACCCTTTGAGTGATCAAGAATCAAAACGGCAGACAGTGGTAGAGGCGAAATTCATACATAGCCTTAAGAATAGGTATGATTGGGGTCACGCAGCCAGGAGAGTGAAGTAACGGCCAACAGAGATGCAGGGCCAGGAGCTGAGAGTTGACCTCTGCAACCACAATTAGGTATGTGTGTGTACATGTGTGTGTACGTGTGTGTATGTACGTGTGTGTGTGTACGTGGTGTGTGTACGTGTGTGTACGTGTGTATGTACGTGTGTATGTACATGTGTACGTGTGTGTACGTACATGTGTGTACGTGTGTATGTACGTGTGCATGTACGTGTGTATGTACGTGTGTATGTAC